TGCTACTGCTACTGCTACTGCTACTGCTACTGCTACTCGTACTGCTACTGCTACTGCTACTGCTACTACTACTACTACTGCTGCTGCTGCTGCTGCTACTACTACTACGACTACTACTACTACTACTAGCAGTAATAGTAGTTCTAGTGATGATGAGTAATAATGAATACAAAAAACAGGTTATAGCAAGACTAATACTGTTAGTTATCTTGAAAGTAAGACTGATATTAATACTATGCTGCAGCTAGTGCTACTACCACTACGCCCATCGCTACGCTAGTAAGACCTACTGTCGACAACTAGAATATCCGCTGTCTATTATAGAGCGATACCATCCATCAACGACTTTGTACCGCTTACCATCTACGATCTGCCCTATCAAGTTTGGCAGGTGTGTCTCCTTCCTTGCCTTCCTGCATGTGCGGAGCATATCTTCCCGAAGTTCCAAAAGCATAGATTTAACACTCCTTGGCCATCGGCTTCCATGAAGTTCGAGCCCTTGGAGTCTCCAGTCGCGGACGAATTCGTCAGGATCATCGGTTCAGGTCTGGAGCCCTCTGACAAAGATGAAGAGGAGAAGCTGGAGGAATCCGATCAGAGCCAAGTTCAGGAGAGTATCTCGATCTCGGAGACTTACCAGCGAGCTGCCAACTACATTGCGGATTTTCAGGCCACCCGACGGGACATCGTCCGAGCTGCCCCGTGCTACGAAGCCTTAAGGGGCTTCGGCAGGGCTTTTCGGTTCCCGAAAGCTGCAAACTACCACAGGAGCTTTCCGACAGACAACATTCAAGAGTTTTGGTCTCACTCTTGGCATGGAAGCGCTCTGCGGAAGATTTCCACACTTATGGTGCAGAAGAACGGCCTTGCAGCCATCTCTGCAGGATCGTTGGCGTCACTTCTTCTTGTCGGTCTTTTCGCGGGTGGCTATCTTCCTGGCTATGAAAGGGCACCTTTCCAGCGGACGGGGAGGGACTCCTACTTGTTCGGCGTCTGGGGAATGGTGGGAGGAACTCTCGTTGCAATTGTTACCATTATCTTCTGGCGGTGTCGCACCCCGGTGTTCGTCGATGTCATGTGCATCCACCAGTCAGATCCAAGCTTAAAGTCAGAGGCTCTTCT